CATGAGTCCACAAAGAACAATGATGATCTCACATCTACTAGAATTCTTATGAGAGTTGCTAGTCCTTTTGATGTTCCCGAATTTATTACTCTCGGCTCCTATGGTAGATCGTATAGAGTCTCCATTAAAGTTGGATCACCTAGTGAAGATTCAAATCCTTTTTTTAAATTTTCTCCGGCGACCGGAACATTTGGGAAATAGTTTAGTGAGACGGGGTCTGAGAAAGGCGATTATAGGGGGAAGTCAGATTATGAGGAAAGTTCAGTCAAATCAGTGAGACGTTCAGACAAAAGGTTTACTTGTGGATTGAAAAGGGCATGTCCTTTGGTTCAGAAGGTACTGATGGGGAAAAACATCTTCCAAGACTTACTAAACATGGGAAAAATATTAATGAAAGAGTGTCAGATGGTCAGAACGTTGGGAATATTAGAGGTGACTTTGCAGGTCTGGGTATCAGATTTTTAAAAAGTTCGGCTAATGGGCCAGAAGCCCAATCTGATGGCTTTGAACTGGGTGGTTTGGAGGATTCTAACATAATTCATTCTGGCCAGCGTATACAATCAATAAATTTGGTAAATTGGTCCAGAACAAGGGAATTGCAGAAGCAAGCTGTGTCAGAAGACAAAATAAGGGGTTATGCTCTATTCCAGGTTCGTCTAGCAGTGCAGATCTGGAGGTTAATAAAACTAACTCTAAGCTGACAGTTCCTAGTTCAAAACTATCAAAGAGCTTATCAAGGGGCAGAACGAGGGTGGTGTGTAGAAGTTCCCTTTCTACAAAAAGTGAGCCTCTTTAGAGGAGGGAAATGGCTAGCTTTAGAAGAGTCTACAGAAGATGTAAGGAGATGAATTACTGGTACGGGAATGATCAAAAAGAAAATAATGCTACATAGGATGTGATAGGTCTAAAGAAGGCTAATGAACAGGATTATATGACGGTTCTCCAAATTACTACAACATCAGAGTCTAATTTACGGGGCAGTGAGGTTCCAAATTTGGTGGATAAAGTTGGTGCCAGGAGTTTGGTTGAAGAGTCTGAGGGTGGTGTTGAGGAAAAACATTTGTCTATCTACAATTCTGAAACTTCTAAGAGAAGGGCAAGAAGAATTCTGGTTAGAGAAACTTTAGAACATGTCAATATTTATACAACAACTTCTTCAGGTTTCTCGGAAATCTTGGATGAAGCAGTAGCTACATTGCAAGTTAGTCAGATTCTGGGGTTTCTTTTACACAGGGAAGGAAGCTTTCTTGGATAAAATCATTGAGCTGGAGAAAGGTTTGAAGGTGGCAAACTGAGTTGCCATTTTGGGGAAACTAGATTATTCATCAGTTTTTATGAAGGATAAACTAGCTATAGTTTCATGGAATGTCAGGGGTTTGGGAAAAAGAGAAACAAAGAGCAGTTCAGAGATTAGTCTCCAACTATCATCCTTCTTTTCTTTGGTTACAAGAAACTAAGACAGAAAACATCCGCAGTCTTTTTTGAGAAGGAAGGGATTGAATATTTTTCAGGGGGTTATTGAATCGCCAGCTACTGGTTCTTCAGGGGGGTTATTATTTTGTTGGGATGAAAATGTGTTTGAAATGGAAAATCACAGTATTAAAGAAGATTCATTGCGGTTATAGGGAAATTCAGATTTAATCAATTCATAAGTATTCTCATTAATGTTTATGGACCCTCAGTGGATGAAGAAAAAGAAAGTTTTTTTGAAGAACTGAGCGTGTTCATTACTGGACAGGATATGCTGGTTTGTGTTGGAGGGGACTTTAATGTCTACTTGTGTGAGGATGAGAAGGTGGGCAGAGCTCAGAAAGACTTTCAATGAGGGTTTTCACTCAGTTTATTCAGTCAACAGGTCTAATTAATCTGCCTTTGAATGGGGGAAGGTTCACTTGGTGCAATAACCAAGATGATCCGACTTTTGTTAGGTTTGACAGGTTTTTGGTGGACGGACAATTTTTGGATGGTTTTCCCGAGATAATTCAGTCACTTATTCTAAATCTATTTCAGACCATAATGCTATTCTTTTACAAAATGGCGGAGTTGATTGGGGGAAAAAACGTTTTAGACTATTTAATTATTTGATGGAGGAAGAAGGTTTTGAGGAAATGGTTTGTCATATTATAGCAGATTGCAAGAAGGATGGGAGAAAAGCTGGAATCCTAAGTGTTTTGAAGAAGTCTAAGGTTGCCATTAAGAATTGGACAGGGCAAAAAAATCAATTTCTGGGAGCCTCAATCACAGATTTGGAAAGGAGAATTCACAAGTTAGAGGAGGACGTTCAGATGTTGCAGGACAGCTCGGTTCAGGGGAAAATCGAGGAGTTGCGTAATTGTAGATCAGAGTTGTGGAGACTCCTTAGAATTGAGGAACATAATTGGTATCAAAATTTCAGAAAGAAGTGGATTAACGATGGGGACCGAAACACTAGATTTCCATACTTGCGCTTCAGTTAGAAGAAAACGAAATGCGTTGAATGCTTTGTTAATTGAGGGGAATATTACTCATGATCCAGTTGTAATTAAGGCCACTGTTAAAGAGCACTTTTTTAATATTTTCAATAATCGGTCTACTTTGGATGTGGAAGACATTGGGTTAACGTTTCCTAGAATTTTGTGGATCAAAACATTTTTTAGAGAAGGAATTTTCAGAGGAGGAGGTTTGGGAGACTTTAAAGTCTTGCGATAGTAATAAAGTTCTGGGGCTCGACGGATTGAACTTGGGATTTTTTAAAAGGTTTTGGTCTGTACTTAAAGGTAACATCATGCAATTCTTTCATAGATTCCATAGGGGGAAAAATTGGGAACATGGTATTAACCACACCTTTATCACCCTTATTCCTAAGGGCTCTAACATTGGAAGTTTAGATGATTATAGACCTATTAGTCTAGTAGGAGGTGTATACAAGATAGTCTAGTAGGAGGTGTCTTCCCAAGTGTCTGTCAAGGAGGATTAGAAGTTGTATGGGAGATATCATCAGCCAATCACAATTTGCTTTTATACCCAGTCGGCAAATTTTGGATTGCTCCCTCATTGCTAACGAGGGCATTGATTAATGGAGGAAGAAAGGGCTAAAGGGTTGTGTTTTTAAAGTAGATTTCAAAAAGGCTTATGACACGGTTGATTGGCCTATCTTATTCAAGGTGATGGAAAAAATGGGATTTGGTTCGACTTGGATTAGTTGGATCAGGAAATGTGTCTCTACTGCCTCTATTTCAGTGTTAGTCAATAGGTCTCCAACCGAGGAATTTTCGATGGCCAACGGACTAAGACAGGGGTGTTCACTTTCACCTTTGTTATTTAATCTAGTAGGGGAGTTGTTGAATTTATTAATACCGCGGGTTGTTTTTGAAGGACTATTTTCTGGTTTGACAGTTGTCAAGAAGGAAGGGTCTTTCAAGCTCACACATTTACAGTTTGTTGATGATTTAATTATCTTCTGTGGAGCTTCGAAAACACAGATAATGAATGTGAAGAGGGGGCTCAGAGTTTTTGAGGTTATGTCAGGGCTGCAACTTAACCTAAAGAAAAGCAGTTTGTTTGGGATTAATATTTCCCAAGAGGAGGTTCAGACCTAGGCAACCTCTATTGGTTGTTCGGTTGGGAGTTTCCCCTCTAATTACCTAGGTCTCCCATTAGGGGAACTAAGAATGCATCTCTATTTGGGAACTGGTGGTGCAGAATTTTCATACTAAATTAGCGGGTTGGAAGGCTGCTACACTTTCATTAGCAGGGAGACTGGTTTTGATCAAATCGGTTTGTCCTCACTGCCTACGTATTTATTGTCTATTTTCAAGATTCCAGTTTCAATCCTTAAGGCTCTAAACTCGATCATGTCTAATTGTTTTGGGGAGGGGGAGGGGGAAATGGTTCAAAGAAGATTCACTAGGTTAAATGGGATGATGTATGTAAACCTAAGAACGAGGGTGGTCTGGGAGTCCGGAATCTGACTAGTATGAATAGAGGATTGCTAGGGAAATGGTGTTGGAGATTTGCAAATGAGAGACACTCTGTTTGGAGGAATTTTATCTGTAGCAAATACAACATTGATTCTTCAAGGTTACTGTTTGATAGCAAGGTTCCTCCTCAATCTTCTTGGCTTTGGAGATCGTGGTTAACAATCATTACAAACAAGACTCCTTTGGCTCTAAGTTTCAAAGTTTGTGTAGTTTTTATGTTGGAAATGGTAAGCTTATTCGTTTTTGGCAAGATAGTTGGGCTACAGATTATCCATTTCAGTTTCTTTTTCCTAGGTTGTTTTCAGTTTCTTCTAATAGATCTGGTAAACTTTGTGAGTTTGGGGAATTCCTTCCTTCTGGATGGGTTTGGGATGTTCAAGTTAGAACAAATTTAAATGATTGGGAGGTTGAACAATGGTGTAACTTGGTGAGCTTTATCTCTCCCTATTCTTTGTCTAAAGATTCTAGTGATATTTTACTTTGGAAAGGCAGTGGGGATGGTTTTTTTCAGTCAGTTCTTGTATTAAAAGTTGTGCTTCAGGATAAGATGATGTTTGCTTCTGGAATAACATTATTTGGAGAGGTTTGGTACCCCCTAGAGTTTAATCTTTAAAGTGGCAGGTTGTGCTTGGCAAGCTAGCTGTTAAATCTGAACTGATCAAAAGAGGGGTTCAAGGTATCGAGGATGATTTATGCCCTCTTTGTAAATTGGTTGAGGAAACTTCCACGCACTTATTCTTTACATGTTCGGTTGCATGGGCTTTGTGGTACAAGTTTTATAATTTTTGGAGATTTAGTTCTGTGCTTCCTGCTGATGCAAAAACCTTTCTTACTGCTTGGGATGAGTTGAAATCAAATTCTTCTATTTGGACTTTCATTCCTGGGGCTATCATTTGGACCATTTAGAAGGTCAGAAATTTTATTGTCTTTAAAGGGGGAAAGCTAGATCAGTTAGAGTTATTTTTCTTATCACGAGTTAGGCTGGCTTCTTGGTTTCTAGCTAAGCCCAAGGACGTTTCTATTCATAAGGATTCCTTGATTATGGATCCTTCATTAGCATATTCCTACTCTCCATACAGCTCTATGAAGTCTTCCTCATTCCCTTGGGGACCTCCCCCTTCTGGTTTTTTTAAATTGAATGTGGACGCAGCCGTTAGTAGTGACTGGAAGAAATCGGGTATAGGAGGTATTTGGAGGGATCATTCAAGTTCAGTCCTAGGTTCTTTTCAAGAGCCAGCTGGTCTGGGACCTCCGAATATGATTGAACTTAAAGCTATTCAGAGGGGTATTTCATTATATGCTTCTTCTCAAGGGAGGGTCAAAGATAGGCTGATTGTTGAGAGTGATAGTAGGGTTGCAGTAGACTGGATCAACAATGTCGATTCATGCCCAGTTGTTTATGCTTTTGTTGTTAGTGATATTGTTGACAATCTTAGATCTTTGGGGGGGTTATAAATTGGGTTGCTAGGTCAGCTAATATGGACGCCGATGCTTTAGCAAAGGCTGAAATAGGCTAATTCAGTTTAGCATTTGATTCCTGTTCGGGTGGGATTTATATACTGTTGTAAGGGTTTTTTCGAAGAGATTTATCGAGGTTGTAATCTTATTTTCTTTTATGAAAATCTAAGGCACTCTTTTCCTCCTTCCAATGATTAAGGAGCTTTCAAGATCTATTAATCAAGAAGGAGGTTTTTAATGAGGCCTTCTAATCTTATCAAAAAAAATAATAGGGGGAGAGAGAACAACCTTGTCGAAGCCCTCTGGAAATGTTAAATTCCTCTGTGGGAGAATCATTCACTAAAACTGAAATAGTGGTTGACGAAATACATTGACTAATCCAAGAGTACCATTTCTCCACAAAACCTATTAGAACCATTACTTTTAATAACAAAGACCAATCAACCGAGTCATATGAGTTCCTGAAATCAACTTTAAAGGCAACTCCAGCTAACCTTTTCCTCCTCCAATATTCAATACCTTCATTTGCTATAAACGAATAGTCCAGAATCTGCCTGCCTCAGATAGATGCGAATTGGGAAGGCCCAATTAATAAATCCATGCAACCTCTAAGTCTCCTAGCTAAAGCTTTTGACAAGATTTTGTAAAGTCCCCCAACAAGACTGATTGGCAAAAATCTTCAATGCATTCTGGACCCAACTTTTTAGGGATCAAGGTGATAAAAGAGTGATTAATTTCTCTTTCCCACTGCTTTCCAGCAAAGAAATCACCACAAAACCTCATCACCTCATCTTCCAGGTTCGGCCAAATTTTAAAAAGAAAACCCATATTCAGCCCATCTGGCCCTGGTGTTTGTTAGGATCCGACTCTGTAACTATTTCCCATATTTCTTCTTCTGAAAACGGAACTTCCAATTGTGTGGCAATGTCTGTACTAAGTCTGGAAAAACCAATGTCCATCTCTAATTCAATAGTATTTTTAGTGTTATAGGCGACTTTAAAGAAATCAAGGATATGGGCTCTAATAACGCTCAGATTCGAACACTTCTCCCCATTAATATTCAGAGAGATGATAGAATTCACCCTACCTTTACTGGATGCACAATGATGAAATAATCTAGAATTACAAACCCCCTCCAAGAACCACTTCCACCTCGACTTCTAATGCCAAATTCGTTCCTCCATATGGTAAAGACTCCATAATTCATTTTTAGCCTTCACGATCTCCTCAAAAGAGACAGAATGCGACCCTACTACAAGGCCAACTCCATCTCATGAATGGATTTCTCAAGAGCCGAGATCTTTCCTGGTAGTTCAAAGTGTCTACTTCTGGTCCAATCTTTAATAGACGCCTTCACTCCTTTCAAAAGGTATGTTATTCCTCTATGTTTCTTCCCCATCTTCAGTTCACCGATTTTCGCTTTTACCGTTTCCTAGAAACTCTCTTCCTCAATCAAATAGTTAAATAATTTAAACGACAGAGGACCCCAATTAATCACGCAATTTTCCAGCAGAACATGATTGTGTTCAGAGAGAATGAGGAAGCATTAGTTGAGAAATTCTCGGGAAAAGATCTAAAAACGTTTTTTTAATAAGAAACATGTCCAGCCTGACCACCGATTGATCCGCTCTATTATTCCCCCAAGTAAAACTACCACCACTCAATGGAAGATCCACTAGATTTGCATTCTGAACAAATTCAGAAAACACCCGAATTGAATGATAACTTTGAGACCTACCTACTTTTTCTTCGGATTCAAATAGGTGTTAAAATCCCCACATACACGGATAGGCCAAACTGCTTGATCAATAAAATAGTATAGCTCATCAAAAAAACCTTCTTTTTCCGCTTCAATGGAAGGACCATACACGTTGACAAACCAACACTAAGAGCCATTTTCTTTAAATTTTCCTAAAAACGCTAAAAATCTATTAACATCAAACTGATCCATTACTTCAATCTTCTCCTTGTCCCATACACTTAACAATTGCCTGCTAACCCCACTGAAGGAACAACAACACATCCTTGAAATAACCTCCCTCTCAACCTCCTCAACAGAGACGATTTAACCAATTCTACTTTGGTTTCCTGCAGGAAAATCACCATAGGCTTCTTCACCACGATCTTACCCCTAATCGCCCTCACATTCTTTCTCCCCAAGCCCTGCACGTTCCAAGTAAGACACAAAAAATTTAATATATATAAACAAAAAACCAAAGACCTCTATAGGACGTGACAGGGAACTAACGCCCATCCCCCTCCCTAACCCCTCTCCCTAATTGGACAAGGTTCGCTCTTTTTCCTCCCCTAAAAGTTATACCCAACATCTTACTTGCCTCCCAAGTAGCGTTGACTTCCTCATCAACCTCCTGTAATCGCATCGTCATGTTACCAGCCTCCGATCTACATATATCCCGTTTTCACCAGACCTTGGTTTTAAAATGCGAGATGCGCTCTGATGCGTTTAGTGTCCCGAGAGCCGATGCGTGATGCGTGATGCGCTCGCATCACAAACCCGATGCGCTAATTTTCATAAAAAAATACTTTTGAACTAATTTTATACCTTGTAAATACTTATATATAAAAAATACATCAATTAATACCAAAAGTAGTTTAATAGTACTTCATAAATGTTAAATAACATAATAGACAAGTACACGTAGGAAAATCAAAACAACCAAAAGACAATCAACAATAGCCCCCACTTCCCTTCCCCCCACAAAGTTCTCCAAACTTTCTCTAGTCACAAACTAAATGTCTCCAAGGTCCCCATCATCTAACCCGAGCACGTCTCCATCTCCCTCATCATCATCAGTCACTCTAATGTCTTCCTCCATCTCATCTTCATCAACAAGAGCGAGTCTTTTTCCTTTATCATTTCTTGATGGGCCGACTCCATCATCACCTCCTCTTCTTGATCCTCTAGTGAAATGACTTGGCTCATTAGCCCCGGAAGCCCTACCCACTGCATCCCATGTAAGATCATCATCAAGAAACACCAAATCTTCTTCATCTTCATCATTTTCCATTCTACCCATCAACCATTCATTACTTTCATCAATATCATCCAAAGCAATAGGATCAGGGGTTCCCTTTCGGCATTGCAATGAATGATTGAATTTAACATAAACCATATCATTCAATCTTTCTTGTGTCAACCTATTGCGCTTCTTGGTGTGAAGCTATCAAAAATTAAATTGTATGTTAATTGATAATATATTTTAATTAAAGTACGAAATTGGAATATATATACACTATTACACTTACATGTTGAAAAACGCCCCAATTTCTTTCACAACTTGTGGCACTACAAGTAAGACTAAGAACTCGTATGGAAAACTTTTGCAAGTTAGGAGCCGAAGCTCCATATGTTTCCTACCATTCCGCTACAAGGAGCAAAAAATTAGAAGAGTAAAATCAGTATGCATAAGAGTAATAACATATTTTTAATTTAATACATTTATAGAATTATTCTCACCCAGTGCCATTTGCTTCCTTTACCTAATAGCCAGACTTTTACCAAACATCCCTTCGGCTTTCTTATACTTGTTTAATTCTCTTATGGTTTGGTCTTTCACTTGAGCATTCGAGGACAACCTTTCAATGCAAGATTGTAAACCATCCATTATTTCTTCACAACTTTCAATCCGCTTCACATCATCATAGAAAATGGATAGGTTTAAGTAATGGCCCGTGGCATGCAAAGGTCGGTGGAGTTGATGTTCCCACCTATGGTCAATGATCTCAAATGTTTTTTTGTACTAGGAGTTGGTTCCATACTAAAAATCACAAAAAACAACTTGTTTTAGTACACATAAAAGCTTAAACAAGTAGCAAGTAGCAAAACAATCAAAACACCCTAGCAACAAAAAGAAACAGTTCTTCGCTAAACCTTCAGTAAAATCAATTTAAAGCTATTGCATCATTAAAGCTTCTTGATTTAGTTTTTTCAGTAAAATCATAGGACGTAAAATAGTTCATTCATTTAAGCAACAAAAAACAACTTCTTTATGTTTCTAAAAGCTAAAAGCTTTTGCAACTAAAAGCTATTGCAACAAAAAGAACTTATCTATAGGACGTAAAAACAGTTCATTCATTTAAGCAACAAAAAACAACTTGTTTTAGTACACATAAGAACTTAGGGATGAAAAAAGTAGTAGCAAGTCTATTGCGAGTGGAAGGGATGAAAAGAAACAGTAAAATCGATGATAAATGTAAAAAAAAAATTGAGACTTACCTTCAAGCTTCTTCAATGGCAGCAGACAGATCTTCAATAGCAGGTGGGAAAGCTCGATGGAGGAAAGCAGCAACCAGGTAACATTTTATTAGAGATTTAGGTCAATTGAATATGGGCTTTTTAAGCCATTCCAGTAATTAAGTTAGAAACATAAACTAGTCCAACTAAAAGCCTAAAAAATCTTATTAAACGCATCGGCCCGCATCAGACCGCACCAGCCGCATCGGATCGCATCAACCTCATTATGTACCCCCTACCGCATCAGGCTTCCCGATGCGCTTTGACCATCGCAACGGTCGCATCACGCATCAAGCGCGCCTGATGTGCCTTTTTTAAACCAAGCACCATACCTACAGTAAACTCTCTCGAACCTCTTTTCCTTGCTGTTGCCCTTAACTTCACCATTAACCGAAACATTATACTCGGAACGAGAAGCAACCCTTCCCAATCTTCTATCATTAGATTGCACTGGCTGAGAACCCTCAACTTTAACTCCCCCCCACACATTCAGTCCACACCTTTCTTTACTAGTTCCTTTAACACCTCATTTGGTCAACGACTATCTTACTTCCAGTCCACCCGAGCCATCTCCCACAACAACCGCTGGGCTATGAGCTTAAGATCCAGTTTCATTCCTAATCACACATTGATTTATTTTAAGGACCGGCCTAGCAGGGTGTATATTGATAATAGGGGAACTGGGCTCACTCATATCATCATATTGGACCTGATCAATTATTGGTAAGCTCACATTTCTTCTTAATTCCAATCCCGTATAATCACCTAATAATGCCCTCCTCTGTTCACTACAAACTATCCCTGCTTCATTAATATTCCCATTTTCCAAACCCAACATTAATAATTGTTCTCTCGATTTCTCCTCATTACAACCATTCGTCCTTCCACCTGCCAATCACGAAGCAACCATACTAACGGATTCTTAAATCGATTGATCATCCTCAACCACCCTCACCGCCAACCTCCCACCTTTTAATCCTTTTCCGACGAATCCTCAGACCACAGATCTTCTGGCACCCCGACCGAATCGATCTCCCTCGGAAAACTTGGTTTCTGGAATACCGAGCCTAATCTAGATCTCACTATAAAAGATAGACCATGCGACCCTACCGTGATCTTTCTTGGGACATCGAAGGGACTAGCCACTCTAACCATCATCCTAGCCACGGACGTGTCTCCTCCATTACTCGTTGATTCCATTATACACACTTGAACTCCCCATCTTTCAGCTAATTTCTGAAGGAAGGACTCCTGCCAACATATCAACGAAGACCAACCAACTCAACCAGGCAGAATGCCAATGGAATTCCATGATCACCTAGAACAGGTTCCAACCAATCAAACCAGAAAGACAATTCCACTCTTTTGTTATTTCAATCCTCCTCTAAGGCTTCGATCGATTTAAAAGTGACAATACAAGAATTTCATGCATAACCCCAGCTTACCAGATTAACATCAATACCATCATTGTATAAGGCCTTCTACACCACCTCCGGCTCAAAAGATGCTTCGATGACCCTCGCCAATGTTCGTTTCATCCAATCTGATTATTTTCGCGGAATATGCAACTGCCATACGTTCCTCTTCCTTGTTCCTTTTGAAGAATTCCCCTATGTTTTCCCAGCTCGTGTAGAGCCCCCACACTTTCTATTCACTAGAACTTCTTTATACGATCTCATCTCTTATACTATTCGCTAGCACTTTCCCAACATTGTTCTGTATCTCTGTAATACCATCCAACTGATTCTTCTCAGACTACTTTAAGCCTACAGAGGCTACACTTCTCCGAGGATTCTGGTATTTCGCTACCCCCACTGAAACTTCCCTCCCATCGATTAAAAAACCGTTAACTTTCACAATAGCGTTACTCAGACTCTTTTCTTTGATCTGGACAAAGGCAACAGTAGAAACTCTATATTTTGGTTTCTCTACCACTCTCGGGATGAAGACACGAACGACCGTCCATGATGCTGAAATAGCTCCCTTAACGCCCACCTTGACACTCTCCAGCTCCCTTAACGCCCACCTTGAAACAACTCTTTAATGCATGGGTGCCCTCTTTTCTTTGTCATTTATAGCTTATGGTGTATGTAGAATTGAGAGATAGCTACCATGTGATATTCACAATTCTTGGGGGTGTTGTACTTGAAAAATAGTCAAGTAAGATTCTCTCTAAAAATAAGGCGTTGTAAAAAAAATTCTTTAGGATGCTTCTTTAAGTCTATTCTCTAGGTCAATAATTAAATCTATTGCTCAAAGCTCAGGGAAGGTAGGCGAGATTGTAACTTTGTTCGTGCAAAACATTCCACCTAGATATCATTGGAGTGGGTTGAGTCAACTATTCGGAGGCATGGAGATGTGATTAGTTCGTATATTGCAAGGAAGAATGATAGAACAGGAAAGCGCTTTCGGTTTGTTAGATTTTCCAACAGAGATGGCACAGTTAGAGTAGTCCATAGATTAAATGGATTTTGGTTATTAGGATATCATTTATCAGTCAATGAAGCTCGGTATGGAACTAGGAAGCAAATTTGGAAACTGAAGTATCCAACAACTTCCATTGCTACAACCAGGGTTAAACAAGGAAAAAGCGTTAGTGGTGTTAGTCCGGAGGATCTAGCAAAGAAAGAGGACTAGGCTAATTCAGGGGGATGTAGATGAGGAAGTTGTTCGAAAGCTCCAAAAGAACCTTGTAGGAACGATGGCGTCATTTTGCTCTTTCAGTCAGGTGGTAGGTAGATTACAAGCAGGAGGTCTAGGAGATATTAAGACCAAGTTCCTTGGAGGGAGAGATTTCTTATTGTAAATAGATGATGAAGAATCATACAGATTTTTGAAGGAGCAGAACTGGGTGATTTTAAATGAAGTTTTCCAGGAAGTTAAACCTTGGTCAGAATCTTACAGAGCGTCGGAAAGAGTAACATGGATTAAACTATTTGGTATGCCGCTTCACTGCTGGAATCATAGCACATTTAAGAGGATAGCACAACAATGGAGAATGCTTAGCGCTGGGAGAAAACGCACTTCAAGATTTGGGATGTGAGGAGATGACTATTCAGATAGCAACTTGTAGGAAAGAATTAATTGATGAAGTGGTAGACTTGCAAGCGGGTAGAGATATTATTAGGATTAGAGTAGTGGAATTTCCCACAGTTAGAAGTGATTCTTTGTTTCGAAAATGGGAAGAAAAAGAAGATGCCGATTCTGATTCACCGGTAGGAAGAAATGTGGACTCATCGAAGGAGAATAATTCTGATAGGGGTTTTGAGGAAGAAGACAATCTATTATGTTGTATGGGGAACAGAGCTAGAGGCAGCATCTTGTCGGGTGAGGATGAGGAGGAAAGGAACATAGGGGAGGAAATAATTATGGGTCAGGGGATGGTTCAAACGCAAATCGAGGAAGGGGTGGAACACGAGGTAGTGATGGATCACGCGGAGAGAGAGGCAGAAGATGACAACAAGAATATTTGCAAAACTACACTTGTTAATGAAGGGATAAAGGATTTTTTAATAGATTTTCCCATCTTGGATGGTCGTTTAGAGTCAAAGGAGGTGAAGGATGTGATTAGTATGGGGCTTACTAATAATTGTGCTATCAAAAGATCCAAGGGATAGGAAGTCCAACAGGATGGGGCTATGGTTGACCGGGCGGATGAAAAACCCAAACCGGGGATAGTAAGTGAGGATTTAGGTCAGAGCCTTTGCTTGTCTACTCAATCGAGGGAGCACAATTCCAGGCAGAACCAGAGCAAAGGAGGGGATAAATAAAAATTATAGCTCGATCCAATTAATTCAAGAGAATTATTCGGCTCCCCAAAGGAAGGCTAGATAATGTCGAAGTAAGAATAATCAGAATAAGTTGCAATGCGAGGAAGAATTGACTGAACTTGAAGGCTCAAAAGTGGTTTTGATTTCGGAAAATTATTGCGGTGGAAGAAGTGGAAGTTTCAGGTGTTTCGCTTATGATTATTGATAATGAGTTGGAGGTTCGGATTGTCTCCGACGAAAAGACGAGTAATAAGTGGTAAAATGGCGGATAGAGTGATTTCGAAGCTTGTTTTTGGTCTCTTGAAGTATGGAAGCTCATGGCTTTGTGTTAGAATTTGGCTTCTATGGAATGAGTCATTTGAGATTGAGGCTGGTAAGATGATGGGTTTTTTCATAGAATTCTACAGATCCAGGCCCTCTGTCTTTGCTGGAGCTTATTGCTATCAAGACGGGCGTACTTCTTTTGAGTCATTCTTCAGAGATTTAAGAATCGGTGGATCATTGATTCTGATAGCATCTTGCTGTGGATTGGGTTATGTATTTAGATAGTTGTCCTGGTGTTTTTCTTCATCTAGTGATAGATATTGCTGTTAATAAGAGTTTTGGAGGGTGCTATCAGAACGGTTGACTGAATAGCTTTTATTGAAGCTGATAGCTTAGCTTAGGTTGGATTTGGGTAGCTGTTGTTGGTTGGATACTTGGATTAGGATGTTTGTTTTATTGTGTGAAAGATGTGTTGTTTGGTGTGTTTCGGGTTGTTATTGTATGGGGATTGTTGGTTTAAACTTTTTGTAATCTTTTACCTATTAATGAATTTTGAGGTACTCTTTTCATCCTTCCGCTGATTAAGGAACACCGATTGGTGTTTCGTTAATCATGAAGGGGGTTTTTAACGAGGCCTCCACTTCCTATCAAAAAAATAAATAAATAAAATTGAGCACAATTTTGCCACCATATATATATATATTTCACTTCTTCCTTCTAAGCATACAAATATCTTTACATTTCTTTGGTCTTGGGGGTTCCATAAAAGCCTAAGCTGTTTGGTCATATGCAATTTCACTGGGTTTAAATTTTGTGTCTTGGTCCTGTTGATATCTCTTACAATAAAAATACTTGAACCACTTTTTATTGATGGCGTCATTCTCTCGATTTTTCTGCTTATCCATCCCAAATATTGTTCTTCTCTTTCTGTTGTGTTATGATAATATATCATTCCAATCAAAATGAAAGACAAAGATTTGGCTGCAGATTTGTAGGCATCAGTGATGGGATTAATTTTAGAAGGTGAAACTCTAAGGTGTAGGCAGATACTGTTTTACGCTTTATAGATCATTTGCTAGCCTAATGAGAAATTATACTTTCTAATGCTAATTTTATTTTGGAAATAGAATATAATAAAAAATTATACAAATAATTTCATGATCTCAATTGAGAAAAAAATGTTAATGATAATAATGGTAATACAAATTTTTACCATAAAATGAGGTTTAATCCTTGTAATGTTTATTTAATGGAAAGAACTGTACTTGTCTTAGAAGCATAGAAACTAGAAAGACAGTCAATTGCATTGGAAACTACGGTTATTATTCTTAGTATTTTTATTTGATCAACTGCCTCTAGAGAAAAAAAAAGTTTAAACGAGTTTGACATAAAAAAGGACCTCATTTTTAATTTCTTTTGTTTTTAGGCATCATCGAGAAATGAGCACCTTGCATGCACATCTTGAGACCACCTTTTAAAATACGAATGCTGTCAGCTTGCATGATTGTTCTTTTATATCTGAATTACAACTTAGATCACAATAGTTTTTATTTTCCTATAAGATGTTACAATCTGTAATACGTTTTTTTCTTTTTTCAATTGATTGCCAGCAAGTTTGGAGATATATTTGATGAACAATACTTTATACATGCACTTAGAAATCATGTGAATGTGGTTAGGGAGCTCCCTGATGATGTACTTCAGAGGTTTGACAATAATATTAGCAACATTATTATTTTGAGAGTAAAAGGTTGGTCAAGCGCAGCCCATTATCTCCAAAAGGTTCTTCCAAAACTAGAGGCAATGGGGTATGCATTCTACTTATCTTTGTGTACCATGTTTCCCTTTCTAGGAAAGCAAAATTGTGAGAAAATCAAATCAATGTTAACGTCTTCCAATTGTATTTGAAATAAGCACGAAAGTATTATGTTTGCCTCTAGAAGAAACACAATTTTAAAAAGAATGATGATGAGTACAAATGATGTACCGTGAAACTAAGTTTATATGTAATTAGTCTGAATCGGTTATGAGATTCCTTTTCATACATTGCTTTCCTTTTGGGAAAGCTATATGAATTTCAACAAATTTTCAAATGATTCCAAGCAAAGAAAAATTTACTAATGTCGAATGTTTGAATAATAGTTGAGAAGTCCCGAAAGAAATTGCTTTGAAATTGAAGCACTTAGACTCTTCTTGTTGCAACCAAAAATCCTTGAAGTATAGTTTGCCTCTGTTCAGCACATGACACTAATTTATATGTCTAGAATGTCCAAACTGTTCTTTCCAATGTCGAATCTTTCATTGACCATTTTTGTCAAAACAACAGCAGTTATTGGTCATAGTTCTTCAATTTAGTTTAATTTGTTAAACATGCCTTGTGATGGTTGGAACCTATTTTATTAATTCAGGTGGTATATTTCTGATTTATCTTCCGGAGTTGAAAGTATTTATTAGTCTTCACTTTTACCTATACTTGAGTTATGTTAAGCGAGTGCCAGTTGTTCTCTTCACTTTTTTATAATCTACTTATCCACTTGCTTCATTTCCAATGGAAAATGCTTTGTTGACATGGATTTGCAACACATCATATGCAGCAAACTTATTGCTATATGGTTTCATCCTTTCAGGACTGTTAGCATTGCACCCTTTTCTAACAGGTTGGCATATTCCGTTCCGTCTAATGTACAAGGGATTAGGTGCTTATCCAATTTTCAAGCACTGAGGTTTGCAGAACCTACAAGGACACTGGCTGATAAAATGGTTGAGAGGATGGTCAAGAATAGCTCCATACTGAAGGAAAATATGTTTCAGTGCATCTTCGGTTTGAAATGGTGTTTTACTCGTTTCTTGTACATGGATGAATAATTCGTTGATTCTTGAATGTAATTTTTAGCAAAAATGTGCTCTATTTCTGAAAGAATATTTTGTTTTGGAAGGATATGGTTGCATTTTCCTGATGTGAATATGATAGTGGGGAAGAAGAGAAACATGAAATGGATATTGCTAGAGAAAGAAGTTGGAGAGGAAAATTTAGGCGAAGGGGCAGAGTTATAAGGCCAGGTGCAAATCGAATGGATGGAAAATGCCCTTTAAATCCTCTGGAGGGATCCAACTATTATTTTTCTTTTTATGCTATCTGTTACATATTATTAGGGAAATTATTAGGCTAACTTTTAGACTAATATATACTCTATTAAATGTAATATATTTAATTACCTAGTTTAGCTATATTAGTTGTGTATATATAACCCTTTCTATTGATGAATAATATATACGAGAATACTTTCTATATCGTTTCTACATGGTATTAGATGGTCTAAATTATTCGAGTGGTTGAATTTTTTTGGGGCTGTTTGGGTATCAAAAGAAAGGAGGGTTTTTGGTCGTTTTCAACCGATGACTTCTGGAGGTCCCTCTCGAGACACCGCTGACTCCAGGAGGTCTGCCATGTGCCGATCAGCCGTTCTGGAAAGTCTGGTCACGGAATCCCAGTGCGTGAGCATCACGTGCAGCCACAACATTTTGCGACTTAACCACGCGTGCCCGCCTGTTTCCGTCGCTGATTCCCTCCATCGTCTTCTCTGCTCGTTTCCGACCACACCGCCGACTCATGCCTCTGGTTAATTTTTTGAGTTAGGTGTCATTTAAAAAAAATATTGTTTGGTTGTTGGTTTTGCTTTTGTGTGGATTCTTTGTCAACTTGTGATTATGAGTGACAAGAAGGTTGAATTTATGTCTAATATAGTTTCGGTTACTTCTAAAATTATTGACCATAAGTCAAATGGTTTTAATTTTATCGAAGGGAACCATACGATTGAGTTGTATTTGCTAAGTCTTTCTATGGATAGTCACTTGACTAATGATCCTCCTATGGATGATTTTCGACTTCCTTGGATGAGAGAAGATGCTTGCTTGTATATCCAGATTCGTAACTCTATTGATAGTGAGGTGGTGGGTATTGTTAGTCATTGCAAGACGATGAAAAAATTGATGAATTATTTGCAATTTCTATATTCTGGTAAAGGAAATCTTTCTTGTATCTATGATGTCTGTCAGAGATTTTATAGGATCGAGAAAGAAGACCAAACTCTAACTAGTTATTTTATGGACTTCAAGAAGACATACGAAGAACTTAATATGTTGCTTCCTTTAAGTGCCGATATAGAGGTCCAATGGAGTCAGAGAGAAAAAATGACGGTTATGAGGTTTTTTGCCAGCCTTCCACCAGAATTTGAGACTGTCAAGTCTCTGATCCTTTATAGTCCAGAATTTTCAGCCTTGACGATGTATTCCGAAGAGTTCGTCGTACTGAAACTTTTTTACATGTCCTGTGTTCGTAGCCCACCAGTGTTCCCCCTAGTCGCGCTACTTCTTCGACTCTGGAAAACAGCAGTAAAAAAATGGCGCACCTAATAGAAACATGGGATTAGGATCCAATAGATTTGATCAGCAATTCCGAGTTCGTGGAGGTAACATGGCGAAGTTGTGTGTCACTATTATCATAAAACGGGACATTTCAATCATGATTGTTGGAAGCTGCAATATAAGAAATCTCAATTTGCTCAAGTTCATTCACCTTCAAGAAATTATGATTCAATCTTCTACTCCAGTTTTCGCCCTTGTTGAGTCAAGTAAACCCAGTACATGTCTTTTGTCCACCTTATCCAAATGGTTCATTGATTCTGGTGCTACAGATCACATGACATGTAACCCAAGTCTTCTTTCTCAGTAAGTCTCATTCATCTATGACTTCTGTTACTTTAGTCGATGGTTCCACATCAACTGTTATTGGCTTTGGCACTTCCAATCCTTCTGCATCCATCACTGTCATTCGTTTTAAATTTACCACAATTATCCTTTAATTTAATGTCAGTCAGTAACTTAATGTATTCTTAATTGTTGTCTCATTTTTTTCTCGGTTATTGTTTGTTTCAAGATCTCTTAATGAAGAAGATTATTGGTAAGGGACATAAATATGATGGTCTCTTTATCCTTGATGCCCAAGAACCAGAATTTGTTATCTACACTAGGATCCCTACTCCTTTTGAAGAACATTATCGATTGGTTCATCCTTCACTTATTTAAAGAAACTTATCCTCAGTTTTCCTACTTAACAACTTAGATTGCGAGTATTGTCAGTTTGCTAAGCATTACTGTCTTAGTTTGAGTCCTAGAGTCAATAAATGAGCTTCTGCTCCCTTTAAGTTAGTTTATTATGATGTTTGGGGTCCTAGTTCAGTTACCTCTAATTCTGTTTTTTGTTATTTTGTTACTTTTGTTGATGATTATTCTCGAATGACATGGCTTTATTTCATGAAATCTTGTTCTAAATTGTTTACTCATTTTTCTTCCTTTTGTGTTTAAATTTGAACCCGATTTTGGTACACCCATATAAATATTGCAGAGTGATAATGGAAAAGAATATCTTTCATATCTTTTTCGTAAATACATGTGTGAGCAAGGCATGCTCTATCAAACCTCTTGTGTGGACACCCCTTCACAAAGTGGTGTTGCCAAAAGAAAAGATAGACATCTTTTTGAAACAGTTCGGGCCTTGTTATTTCAAATGTGAGTTCCAAAATGTTTTTGGGTTGATGTCGTGTCTATTGTTTTCTTTCTAATCAATTGTACGACTTCTTTAATTTTGTTGGGTAAAACACCTTTTCATACCTTGCTTCCAAATAAAAATTTGTTTCCTATCTCACTAAAAATATTTGGGTGTAGTTGTTTCGTTCGGGATGTTCGTCCTCAAATTACCAAGCTTGATCCCAAGTCTTTGAAATGTGTGTTTTTAGTACATTCTCGTACATAAAAAGGGTATCGTTGTTATTGTCCCAGTCTGGGTAGGTATCTTATGTCTGCTGATGTTACTTTTTTAGAACAAACACCTTTCCCTCTTTCTTCAGGCTCTGTGCATCAAAAGGAAGATGATTCCTTAATCTACCATGTCTCGTCAAATTTAGATTCCTCTTCTTTTACATTGGTTCAACCTTCTTTTGTTAAGCCTCCTATTAAAAACACCTACTCCTATCGCTCACAACTCGTTAACTCCAACTTAGTTCCAGAAGTTCCAGAATCATGTCTAAATGAGCCACTATCTTTTTCATTAGATCCGGGTCATAGATGACCTTGACTACCTATTGCTCTTCGAAAAGGTAAACGTACATGCATATACTCGATTTCTTCTGTTGTTTCCTATAATGTTTGTTTTTTTCTTTACGTGCCTTTCTTACATCCTTAGATATTATTTCCATACCCAAAACTATTCGAGAGGCATTAGCTCATCCTGGATGGCGTACATCTATGTTTGAGGAGATAATTGCTCTAGATGACAATGGTAGGTGGATCTTGGTAACTTTGTCTACTGGTAAACAAGCTATTGGGTGCAAATGGGTATTTACTATAAAATTCAATGCTGACGGCTCTATTAATCGATGAAAGCTCGTCTTGTTGCCAAAGAATTTGCTCAGACCCATTGGGTGGATTATTATGATACATTTTCTCCAGTTGCTAAACTACCTCTATTAAGTTATTTATTTATCTTGCAGCCAGGTTTGATTGGCCTCAGTTGGATATAAAGAATGCCTCTCTTCATGGTGATCTTCAAGAGGAGGTGTATATGGAGCAACCACCTGGTTTTGTTTCTCAAGGGGAGTATGGGAAAGTATTTCTCTTGAAGAAATCTCTATATAGCTTGAAACAAAGTCCTCGAGCTTGGTTTGGGAAGTTAAGTCAGGTTATTGAGAAATTAGGGGTGCATAAAAGCGAGCCAGACCATTTTGTTTTCTTTAGAAAGTTTGATGGAGGCATTATCCTACTAGTGGTTTATGTGAATGATATTGTTATTACTGGAAATGATTCTAGTGGAATTTCATCTCTGAAGTCCTTTCTTCACACTCAGTTCCACACTAAAGATTTAGGGATATTAAAGTATTTCTTGGGAGTTGAGTTGAACGTGAATAAAAGAGGAATCTTTCTATGCGAAAGAAAATATGTGCTTGATTTATTATTGAAGTCGGGAAAATTAGGTGCTAAACCTTGTAACACTCCGATGGTTCCTAATCTACAATTAACCAAAGAATGAGAATCATTTGATGATCCTGAGAGGTACATGCGAATTATTGAAGAATTGAACTATGGTTCCTAATCTACAATTAACCAATGAAGGAGAATCATTTGATGATCCTGAGAGGTACAGCCGAATTATTGAAAATTGAACTATCTTATGATAACGCGTCCTGACATTGCGTCCGGTAAGTATTTTGAGCCAGTATATGTCATCTCCAATTGTTGATCATTGGAAAACAATAGAACAAGTTTTGTTTTATCTGAAAAGTGCTCCTAGACATGGAATTTTCTATAGCAATCATGGTTGGACCGAATATTTTTCAGACTCGAATTGGGAAGGATGCAAGGAAGATAGAAGATCTACCTCGGGATTTTGTGTGTTTGTTGGAGGTAACTTGGTTTCATGGAAGAGTAAGAAACAAAATGTGGTCTCACGTTATAGTGCTGAAGTTGAATATAGAGCAATGGCCAAGTCTGTATGTGAAATCATATGAGTATATCAACTCCTCAATGAAGTAGGAATTAAAGTCTCAGTACCATCAAAACTTTGGTGTGATAATCAAGTTGCTCTTCATATTGGTTCCAACCCTATCTTCCATGAACGAACTAAACATATTGAAATCGATTGTCATTTCATTCGCGAGAAGATACAACAAGGTTTGGTCACTACTGTCTATGTGAGGATCGGAGATTTTCACAAAGGCACTCAATGGAATCCGAATTAATTATCTATGTAACAAGTTGGGCGTGATTAATATCTATGATCCAACTTGAGGGGGAGTGTTACAGATTATTAGACAAATTATTAGGCTAATTTTTAAACTAATAGATATTCCATTAAATGTATTTAGTTGCTTAGTTTTAGTTTAGCTATATTAGTTGTATATATATAGCCCTTTCTATTGATAAATAATATATACGAAACTACTTTCTCTACTGTTTCTACACTATCATTATTCTAGAGTGTACATTTGATGACACTGCAATATTTTTTTTTTTTTTTTGTGATTCTCCTTGTTCAATATTTGAACG